AGTTGCATTTCCCATTCCCTGATATTAATGAGTCACAAATGCCCTTTTACACTGTGCACTTTTGCATCGAGCCCTAATACTACTCTGGGGGAGGCAAAAGCAGGCTCTGCTCTCCGTTTGCTGCTGTGCATCTTAGTGATGTCATGAGGAGTTACCTACGCTGTGCAGAAATAACAACCCTCATGCATTGAACAAAACACTCTAATTATAACGAGGGTTGCATGTTAATAGGACACGGTGTCATTGTTCTAGAGCACATATTGGTTTCTATTCTACTAGCTGCATACTAATACAGGCAACCACGCTAGACAAACGCACGTGCACATATTCACTGAGTTCAGAAACACCTCCTGTCTCAGTCCCTGACTTCTTGCAAATTCCACAATTGCTTTCTCCCCAAACAAGCTTCATTTTAAGTGTAGTGACAGGAGAAGGCTGATTCTGCTTGCTTTTCTCATGTCAATCTTTGAATTCCTCTCCCTAGCTCAGCAGAGGCAGTGCCAGGAAAGGAACCTGCACTTTTGCATGCGGTAGTGCTCTGAACCAGACACCAAACAAAGATCCCTAAACGCCTCAAATGAGATGCAATTTCCATAGTGACACAAACCAGTGCTTTCCTGGGGCTTGGTTATGCAAAACCAGACCTCAGAGACCACAGCTACAGAGGGCAATATTAATGGCTGGATTACAAGCAGTGAATCCACAAGTGTATTGTTTAGACACACATTAGGATTTTTGGCCCTGTCCACAAACATGTCATTCCAAAAGACTTTTACTGATGTTGCCCCATTTCTATACATGAGAAAAGGCGATCTGAACTCTATCCCAGGGAAATAAATTGTTAAAATAAGTTTATATGCAGTAAAATATTGGTTGAATATTTTCTATTTATATATAATCAGTATAAAGCATTGGCAGTAGTCTCATAACGCAAACGTGGTCTTCAGACGATTCAAACGCCCGATGTGGGAATACCAGAACATCCTTCCTCTGGAGGATTAGGGCCCTGTGACAGGAAAAGAAGAGAAGACAACCACACTGCCAAGCAGTTCCTCTGCAGTGTACATACACCCACCGAAGTGGATTCTCCTCTCTTTAGAGCAAGTTAATTATAAGCAATTTCTCTGAAATTGGAAGTGTGATACTGTTCTAAATCTTGTGCAGCAGAGTGATCAATCAGAACCAGTTAGTCTATTCCCAGAACATTTGCACAAAGGTAGTTAATACCTAAACCCTTGAAAATTATTTTGCTCTGTTACTGAATACAAATTGCTCTGATATTGGCTTAATGTACATGAAATTTCCTATATGGACTGTCTGCAAAGCAGCGTATTTGTGATTCACAGCAGTGTCATAATACAGTTGATGTGGCTAACGTGCCATTCTCCCAAAGACACGAGGAAGAAGCACGGCCACCGGCAGCTCCTTCTACTGCTCTGTGACAAAATCCAAAAGTAAAAGCACTGATGGGACTCAGTATCACCTTTCTCCCCACAAGGCCAGACACTATAGGTAGCTACAAGAGATAGAACTGAAGAGTAATGGTCCACCATCATTACAAATGAGATTTGGACATCGCTGCAATTAATCTTTCTGAATCAATAGGTACAGTTTGATAACCCACTGACCTGCCAGTGAGAAGGGCACAACGAAAAACAATCAGAGGGGATTGAATGCCTAAGATGGTGATGGTTTTCACCAATGTACACAGGTCAGTCAAAACAGCAGCGGTCTAAGTGTGTATCGTCAATTGTGAATATCTTCTGCCACGAGTACCACACTGAATGCATTTTTAGTATTCATGTTATATAGTGCATCAGTGTTGTAGTTTACCAATGTTCTCCAAGAAATTTATGGCCTTAAAAAAACCAAATGCCAGGATTTTTCTACTTTGGGAAATTTTGGCTTCCTTTTCTAATTCAAAATGAAATTAATTAAAAAAGTCAGAATTCCCCACACAATAGAAATTCCATTTTCCAGAACCTCTAGAATTAAAAATACATATTTTTTAAAATAGCTTCATTGTTCTCTCAGTCTGCCATGGAAACAGCGCTTTGCATTTATAGGCAAATTAAAGGAACATATTTTAAAGGCACAAAAATAAACCTACCCAAATAAACCAGCAATAGGAAGCTAGCTCCTGGCAATTATCAAAAATGTATTGTGTTGCCAAACCTTAAGATTTTATAGGGAGTATTTAGATTGTGAATCATGTTGCAGGCGGTTTAATGAAAAGATCCAGCTGTCATGTGATTTTGGAAGACAAAAATGTAGGGAAGAAAATCACCTCTAGCTTGAGGAGAAATACGCCAAAACGCAAACTCAGACACATGGCATAACAGCTCTTCAAGTGCCTGCCCCAAAGATTTCTGTGCTCTCACAGGGCCTCTCTAAAAACAGGTTCCTCACTACCACTGGACTGTGGAGCACCAACCGCCACCAATCCCATGACACACAAACTTTCAGACAATTTGCCAAGATGGTCTTTCAGCCACCCCTGCTAATGAAGTCTCCATGGGCACGTCTAGATAACGCAAAGGAGCACGGTACCGACACCCACAGCGCACTCTGAAGAGCATCGCACTTCCTGAGAGGAAATGTGTCTTACACGAGCTGCGTCTGACTTAGGTCTGGCAGCCAAGACCCCGTAGCATTCCATCTAACACCGCTGCACTGCTCAGCCCTTCCCAGCTTTCCCAGTTCAGGCTGTGCAGAACAGTTTCAGTATCTCTGCACTTGGATGCGGAAAGGTCCTGAGACACCCTGAAGCTACTAGACTTCATGCAAGAAGTTATACTATTGCTTCCATGATAAACTCTCTGGCTCTCAAGCTATGCTGCTAGAAGTTTTTAGATCCAGAAGTCCCAAGATAACCTTTGCAGACATCCCATATATAGGCATTTTCATTTTTCTCTGCTGCCTGAGGCTGCCAGATGCAGCCTGCTGCCAGCCAGGAGAAGAAACAAGAGCTCTGGAGCCCAGACTTCCTGCACCACCATGCAAACACCTGTGGAATCTCCTGCCCGTGGGCATTTTTTCCTCTTTGGGTAGAAGTGAATATATTTACATAAATGAGGTGAACAGGAAACTGAAGATTATAGCTTCAGGATTTGCTAATGACCATGCAAATAATGATGAAGATAAGAGTAGGGCTGATTTTTTGTTACCAATCTCATGTTTTTGAGGCTTTTTTTTTTTAAACGTTTGGCATTATTGAAACCACAGTTGGTATTGCTAACTTTGAGCATAGTTCTTACCAGGTTTACTTGTCTGTTTTCTCTCTGTTTTGGCCTAGTATTTCATTCCACATAGGATTTTAGATAGCCAATCCAGAGGGAGAAAACCAGTATGACTGGTAATCAACAACCAGATAGGTCACAGGATTAAGTAAAAGTCATAATAACTATTGAAAAACAAAATCACTCTGGGACAACACTCATTACGTGCTCATTATCAACATGGGCTCAGAAATTATGCCTAGCTGTTTTACATCAGGACTAAACTTCATGCCAAACCTTAGAACAATGACATCCAACAGAGCTGGAATTTGTATGGGAAAGCACTAGTTCTTTAGTCTGAAGGCCAAACAAGTAGCTGTTTGCAATTCAGCTTTAGCCTGACTACCCCACTTGGTTTTAAAGCAGTTCACGTAAAACTATGTGGGACTGAGAGATCACAAAATACCGTTTTTACCTGCAGGACTTCTTACTGAATCCATTGGATATTTCACATGACAAACAATATCATCATATTTCTCAACATATTTACATTTAAAGTTCTTTTAATCTCCAACAACTTTTTGAAAACTCTGAACTGACAGCATCTTAAGAACAGAAAAATGGAGGAAGGGAATACTCTAGACAGGAACAACAAAACACAAATTGCTTCTCAGATGAAGAATATCACCTGCTGTTTGATTTCTAGTGGGGGATACAGGCCCTTGGCTTTTAAGATCTCCTCTGGAAGACTTCCCTTGCAGGAAATACATATACCTCCGTGAGAAAAATAAAAGGAAGAGCTGAATCTTAAAGGTAGTGTATATGTGCACATAAGGTTAACTTTGATGGTTCAAAGCCAGTGTTGAGGTATTTAATCATCACTCAAAGGAAAGCAGGCATAGATGCCCAAGACCAGGAAAACTGAATAGCTTCCCAAAGCTCAGCAGTTTTGCTTGCATTTTGTCTGATTCTCCTTCTCTGTAATAATTCCAGAATAGTCGATGCATTGCATGTATACCTTGGCAAAACAGAGTCTGTAAAACTTTTAAAGTCAGGAGTACAGGATCCCGCTATGTACCCAAATCAAACTGCCCTGCATGTACAGACAAGCCCCATGAACCGGGACAGCCACAGCTCAGCCTCCAGTCTACCACCTGACTGTGTCTGACAACGAGGGGCAACTCCAGGCATTTTGAACCGAGGCCGTCCACAGCGTCAGCTTTGTTGCAAGCTGGAGTGGTGATATTTTGCTTTATGAACACCAGTGCCTTTGGGTTACTGTGAAAAACAACACAACTACTGCATGCACTGTGTGCTCAGGTACTGAACACAAAACTCCGCCGTAGCTGTGAGCGTAACGTGGCCCAAGAGCCCTTAGAGCAGCTCCACAGATCCGAGCGCAGTCTATCCCAGATGACAAGCACCACCTTGCAAGAGAGCACTGACCGCCCAGCTCTGCATTTGAAAGAAAAAACGGAAGGGAGGGTTGTTTTTCTGGGTGACCATGAACCACGCGGGGTTTGGCAGGGGCTGGAGAACAAGAAGGAGGCAGCGTGCGAGCCAGCCTCCACTTCTGCTCGGTTTCGCTCGGAGAGGCGGTTTGGTTGGGCTGGATCAGGAGCGGGCGGCCGGTACCACGTGGGGCGGGTGCCATCTGCAGGCTGCAACGCGGCCTGAGCGCCGCCCCAGCCCCACGGCACGCATCCACCCGCCGGGTGGGAAACCCTAACGGCGCAGCCGAGGGAAAAGCTCAGTAATGCAGAAAGACTGCAGACCCATGATTCAAATCACAAAACCCTTCATCACAGCGAGAGGGATTAGCCGAGCTGTTTCCACAGTATCCCAATTCTGCACCGGCACAAGTGCGGTGATGCTCTCCGTGGGCAGGAGGAAGTCGATTGCTGGGAACGCCAGAAGGAAGGAGAACGACCTGTGCCCTCTCTCTGCATACACAGAGAACAGGAGGAAGGTTTCCAATACGTGCAGTTCAACTTGATAGCACTGAAGCGTTGGGAGATTTTGGAAATGCAAGCCAGGTACGTTTTCCAATAAGAAGGCACACTGGTTTTCAGGATAAAAGCCCTGAATAAGGAAAAATTATAGAGTCTAAAATGAAATTATATTTGGATTTACAATCATAACTGCCTGAACCTTGTACCTCTGTACTGGGCACTTATTAACCTCAAATACTGTGTTCGGTTTCGGGCCCCTCACTGCAAGAAGGAACACCACACCTACACCCAGAATGGTATTTCTGTGATGGTATCTTGATCCCTACCTCATGGATAATGCCTGACTACGGAATTTCACTGCGTGGTAGCACTGTGCCTGAGGTTGGCATTTTCAGGGTGGCAGCCTGTGAACAGTACCAGCACTGGCTGAGGATTCGATGCAGGTATATACAAGATAACAAACCTCCCTCCCAGGAGCTCAGGCTTTTTAGTCCAAATTCAAACATTTGCCATCTGTGTGTTCCATGTAGAGTAAATACAGACGGAAAAAAATTGCCAGAGCACTGTCTAAACAGCAGTTATGAGAGAAAGGGACCCCAAATTATATTTCCTATTGCCCACAATGCAGCGCTCCAAAATCACTGACATTTTCAGAGCACGGCTGTACGCAGGAATGTGCTCTAGCTGGGCCGTGCCTGATTGGATCATTACACCCAGATTTATAAATCTGTGCAGTTTCTAATCAGACAGACAGGGAGCACGTTCCACCTCTCAATCTAGTGCCTTGGCAGGTCAGTCAATCAGAGCGTTTCTCAGCACAGCAACCCCAGATAAGCGACTCTTCTTTACACGCAGTTAGGCAGCACTGAAAAACGTGAATGTTTGGCCCACTGTTGAAAATATCAAAACAACTCATCAAAATTGCTTCTAGTCTGACCTTTGAAAATGCCTTCCTGAAACAGTAGGAGATAAGAACAAACACAGCTGAGCCAAAAGAAGGTAGATTTTGGAGAATAAATTTATACCGTATGGCAGGGCTAAGTGGGGTTTTTCCAGAGAACTGCCAATAGCAAATACGACTGCTTATATTGTCATTCTCACCAGGTATGTCAGTACTATACTTTTTTTTTTTTTTTTTAAATAAAACAAGCACAGCTCTCTTGATTGTTGTAAGCACCTGTAATTAACATCGTGATGAGGAAAATGGGCCAACTCATGAATTTGTTTCAGGATTTTAGCACATGTGCCTTATTATATGGCTGTACTGGGAATAAGCAATGTCAGTTATCCAGCCTAGCCATGCCAAAGATGCTCACTATCCTGAGAAAAATTACAAATAATTGAACTTAAGTTAGACTTAAGTATCAACCAACTCTAAAGAGTTAAGCGTCAAGACGGAAATTAGGAAGAATAAAAGCTGGTCATAGTCAAAGTAAGGAGGAAATTTATTCCCTTACCACAAAACTGACCTTACTAGAAGCTTCTGCAGGAGAATTCCAGGTGTGATAAATTTATGGCCTCCCCTCTTACCCTCGCTATTACTCTTTCCAAAGCAGAGAGTATTATATTCTCAAGTCCTTGACCTCAGATAAAGCCTGAGATTCCTTTCACTTCCCCTCAGCACGTGTCCCCATGTCCATTTGCCAACACCACATTCCAGTGTCACACTGCAGACAGTCCTCATAAATTAGCAATGGTATTCTGGTGTGAATGCACTGGAGAAAACTATTCCTGTCAAAGCCAGGGGAAAAAGTAATCGGGTTTGACTTGTGTCAGTTATTTCTAATTAGGAGGCACCATTAACTTCACACTCAGCGTGCAGAACTGGTCATGACTGTTCACAGTTGTCCAGGCAAAGGAATGAGATGCTCATTGATGGTATCACATAAGATATAAAAGAATCAGATTCAGAGGCACCTAAGAGATTGTGTACCCATGCAAACTATACTTTTTTCTTTCCTCTCGATCCTCTTCCCAAATACAGACCTTCATTTGAACACATATGGTCATCTAGTGAACTAGATTCTTTGCTCTGAATTTGGCTTTGTGAAGTGAATGGAAATCTGTCTGAAAGTTGTTCACAGACAAGCATGCTGCTATAATATACCAAAATTTATGGGAAAGCCTTGCTTACATTGTGCTATGAGGAAAATATAATAATAATCATCATAATAAATAATGTCTACCTGTAATGATTGCCTCTCATTCCAACACACACCCAGAACCCCCTTACACACAGTACTCTGTATGTACTCTAGGAAACAGTGGAAGGGTAGCTGCCCTTGCTGCAAACACACTGGCGTTTCCCCTGTTGCTTTACTACCTGCTGCTTTCTACCTTATTCTCAAGGTCCTCAGTTGCCACTGCAGCAGTTGCTATTAATTTTTCCTATCACTCAGACTCATAACCAACCTCCACTATGCCCCAGCACTTTGTGTTGCTGTCCCATAAACCGCTTGCAATTTCTCACAGGCTTTCAGGCCTTCCTCTGACCCAATGCAGTGATTTTCCGATTACAAGTCCTGCTGCTACCATGCCCTTGCAGTGCACTACGCCAGTTCCAAAGGTGTGAAGAGAGCAGCGTGAATATACAGGGCCCCAAAACAGCAATGTTTTTTTCTCGATATACAAGAGGAGTAACAAAAATCAAGCCAGAAAGCAGAAGTGTCTGATTCAGACTCTTACCTGTGCTACCTCTTCAAAATCATCATGTCTTTTCTGCAGCGCACGTGCTCTGTGTAGCGACTTCCCCACTCCTGTATGTTTACTCAGAAAGGCTTCCCCGTGATTTTCAATCCAGTCTAGTACCTGCCAGAAAAGAAGAACATCCAATTATTATCTCTCTTGTTTCAGCAGCACTGAGAAATTCTCAAGGTGAGGCTGAAATAGCTGCAGAGGTATTGCTTTGTGCTTGCTATGGCTAAACGCAGGCACATCTGTCAAAGTCCATTCCAGCTGGATAGAAGATAAATGCTTATGGATGTTAGTGGTAAATTAGGATTATTGGATTTTTACCATTCAATTTATTTTGAATTGTAGATTAGTTACCTGAGCCTGGCAGATAATAAATATTTGCTTTCACATAAATTAATTCTGGCTAACAGGAATCAGAAAACTGGAATCTTTTACAAGGACCTCTTCTTAAGTGCTCCTTGTGTAAACTGAAAAACAGTGATAGCCAACTTCACATAAACAGCAGATTTCAATAAGCATCATCTTAAATGAGTCCAAAAGCATGATGGATTAATCAATTAAAACTATTTTGATGTGGGGACAAAGTCTTATCAGAGTAACTAGAATGAAAAGTTTAAGAATCCTTCAATGCAGACCATAAAACATTGACAGTATGCACCTTACAAGTCTTTCAGGTTTTCAGTTCCAAATAAAACTGATCCTCATACAAAAGTAAAGGGACACATCTGATATTCTGAGAGTTAAAGAGGATTTTCTTTTAAAAATGGATCAACTGTATAAGCATTATCTATTTGGACCTTCCTCTCACAGTAACACTGACATCAAAATTTAGATCAAATCTGTTCTTGGTCTACTACAAGCTGGAAAAATAAAAAAAAACCCTGAACTTGACAAAATGCACCTGGGAAATTTCAGGATGTGATCTCCAACCTTCTACATCTCTTTCCCAATATGCAGAGACTAAGAAAATAAATAGTACTAGATCAGTACTGGTATTTGTGTTAGTAGTTAGGACTTCATTCAGGTAGGAACCCTGCACTCACAGTGAGTCGTTGATCCTCACCGCTGCTGATGCTAAGGGACTAGCAAACAGTAGCTGGTATTTCTGCTACACAGAGGGGCAAAGACACTGCCAGCATCCCCAGGACAGTGCTACTACCACAGAGTGCTGCACTTGCAAACAGCCTGAGAGCTGCCTCTCCTTTCCTTGGGCAGTGCTGGGGTGTGAGCAGCAAGCACGGCCCCAGTGATGCTGGGCAGGGGCTGTGGGTGCCTTGCAGCTCGGGGCAGATTGGCCAGAGAAGGGCTCTGGTACCAGGGCACAGAACCAGGGTGGGAGGGAACTGTCGTGTGAGGAGCCACTTGTCTTAGGTGAGGCTGACAAATGAGCAGATATCATTGAGTAAGCATAGAAACCTAAGACTGGAAAAATGGAAGATGTGATTTTTTTTTTTATTTCAGGCAAGTAAAGCTATTTCATGGCTTGGTTGTACAGAATCTAAACCACCTGGGCTTTGAGTCTTTTTCTGAACTGCAGATCCCAGGCATATTTTTATAAGAAGTTCCAAGTACAAACAAAGCTTTATACACATATACTTATTTCCCAACCCTACTTCTTTGCTGGAAAAAGCAATGTTTTAATTAATATTTTGTGCTTACAAGGTATTTTTCACCCACAGAGTATAAATCATTTCACACAATTGGCTATCAAAGCACTTTATGTCCTGCAGGGACAACACACATTTGGCCTAAGTGTCACCGTGGGGACGAGGAAGCAGGACCAGGTGTGTTGGCAGTTCAATCATTGCTTCCTGCTTCCCTTTCTCTGATGACTTGTCTCCCATTTGCTCTGGGGAGAGAATCCCAAATACATTCCTTCAAACTCTGAGCGCCACGTGCCAGCTGGTAGTCTAAGAGCTTTTCTGCAATATATTCTTGACCAGGAGTCTGTATATACCTTGTAACAACATTAATTATTGCAGAGTAGCCTTCCAGCATTTGTGTCATTAACAGCCTTTAAATAATTCCATTAACATCCTCTTTATTCTTGTCAGGAATTTTGAACTTCTCAATTAAAAATGGAACCAGGTCAAAACTCAATTTTAAAAAAAGTGTCATCCAATGAGGCCTCATTTTAATTTTTTTTTTTTTTAATGGAAAATGGCTTTAATTCAAACAATGTTTCATATGAAGTTAGTATGCAGTACGTGCTTTTTATTTATTAATATTTGATAGCCACTCACTGTACTTCTACAGCAAATTATTCTAGTCACACTTTCATGCTTATAGCATTAAAGTAGTAATCACATAATAATAAAATTTTTAGCTGAACCAATGTTATGCTGGGCTGCTTTAGTCACTGTTAGATGGTTATTGACAGAGACTGTCACTTTTATTTTTTAAACAGATGATTTTTTTACATGCTTTGACTCAAAACAAGAAATAAAACACATGATGCCCACTTTAAACAACATTTAAGAAAAGGGCAATGATTCGAGGACTGGTCAAAATATGGATACTTTACTCTCAACAAAAAAAACCCAGCCAACCAAAGTGATAGAATATTAATCCATAAGGAATAAACCTTTGTTCCCGGACTCATCCAAGAGCTGGTTATTCCATACTGCCTGACACAGAAGGGCACCACCATCTGGTGATTCATCAAACCCTTCCTGTAACGTGAATGCTTCCCTCTGAAGTCATTTATGCAGGTATTGATCAGGTTTTCAAAACCTTTAGTTTGTAAGATTAGATATAACATACCCCTTGAGGTGACAAAATTGTACATCCACTTATTAAATCAACAGTACATGAGCATACAAGATTAAAAAAAACACAATCTATAAATCACTCGCTAATGACACTGGCTGTAACATCCTATTTGACCACCTCTTTCTTATGCCATTTCTCTGCTTAGAGTCCCATTCCTCAGATTTCACAGACCTTATCTGCTCTTTTAAAGGTTCTGGTTCAAATTGTTCCGTAAATTCTACTCCTGCAAGCAACAAACCACAGCTATTTAAAGAATAACTTGCTTAACAGCATTTTCTATGGCTCTGAAACCCTGATAACATATTTGACCACTCCAGCGTTCAGTGCATTTTTTTTTCACAACTGAACTGTGAAATACATAAATGCTGTAGTTTCATTTTGCATAGAAGTGGGAAAAAATTACATAATATGTATTAGGAGTCGAAGTGAATTGCCAAGGTATCCCAGGAAGTTGGCAGAAGACAGGATGTTAGTATGAGGCTCTGATAATCCAACAGCCCAAACGATCAAAGGAATCCTCGGCATTTATATGAGCAGATAATATGTTTTTCCTTATATAAAGCATTTGCCATTAATATGCTCACAGTAATTTGCAAATGTGGAGAAATACCACAGCTTTGTTTCCATCATACAAGGCACAGCAAATATGCACTAAATGAGAAGCTGAGGTAGGGAATAACTGAGCGAGGAAAGCAACAGCCAGAACATAAATCTGGGTGGATAGAAAACACTCCCCGGTGAAAACAATGAGAAATGTTAAGCAATTAGTCTACGGCAAATGCAGCAACAACTCTGAAAGGTCACAATAAAAACCTGAAATCACCAGCACTTGTAAACATCTACCTGTCAGCATGTTTGGAGACATTCGCCCTTACCCTGAAGAAAGGAAATGTCTTCAGAACTAGCGTAAGTGTGCAATAATTCAAGATAAACATTAACATTTCAATTGAGAGCATGGCTGTATATCTTACTCTATTGCCAAAAATTAACATCCTGAGATACAGTTAGCCACAGAAGTTACAGTGACTTAGCTCACATAATTTAATTGCTTCTTAAAAACATAAACAGCTTGAAGATGCTGTTAAAAATGCAGTTAAGTGTTTTCCAAATTATGTCTTCTAACTTCCTTATTGTCCTTTATTTCCAAGATATGTTTCTATTTATTTATTTAGAGCTAGAAAAATGTGGTAAGTCATGAATTATTTGAAATTATAATACCATGCTACAGACAGATCCACCATCTCAGGTGTTTCTTGAAGCAAAATACGTATTTTGCTTCAAAACACCTTATAAAACTGCTGTATATGGCAATTCTCTTTCCAGTATGCATTTACTATTCTACTTCCACTAGTTTGAAAGCTGCTCAGGAGAGGGGCCAGGACCGGCTTCCTGCTTTGCAGCTCCTGGCACAGTAAAGCCTGATCATGCATGACTGGAACTGAAATACAGGCTGACCACTGTGTGGACACACTTCCCACATAGGGCAGCATTTTTCAACCAACCCAAGTTGTCCATTAATGCTGTCCATTAGATAATACTACATTAATGCATACATAGCTGAGTTCAAACTGCAAGGCACATCTCTAAGCGTGGATAAAGCTGCCTCTGGAATTGCCTAGGAAACAGACATCTTCTGAAGGGACTGTGGAATAATAGTGTCTTGGTATTTTACCTTCACCTGTGGCAAAATCCCATCCCACCATCGCTGCTGGGGAGTTGATTGAGGTACTGTTTCTGCTGTTCCTCCACCCAGTCCCATAAGATGTCCACAGGAAGCAGTAAATGAGCTGCTTTGTTTACTCTGATGGTAGCTTGCATGGGCCTCCAGAAAGTGTGCATCCAAGGCTAGGAGGTGAGAAGGAGGCTCCCTTTTTTTTCTGGATGGAGATTCATAATTCTGTGTTTAATTCCCAGCTAGTAAAAGTTTATAAAGTATCAGGCTCAAAAGCATGCAATGTTTTCTAGTAGTCTGTTACAAGAAGGAGAGCAGAAACCAAATGCTCAAAAAGCATCTCTGAAGTCAGCAACATTTATTGGCAGTAATGCTGCAGGATACACACGTGTTAAAAAAGATGATGTTAATACCTCTTTTTTATTTCACCTAGTTTAAGATCAAAAGTGTTAGGAGCATTATTTTCTTTCTACCACAGTGTGCATGTCCTGTCTCCTTATCTCCTCAGGGGCACAATTACACACCCAACAAAATAAGCAGCAAACCCAGGTCACCAAGAAAATTAAATAAAACTCCAGTGCAATTACAGCAGGTTGAATGTGCTAGCTATACAGCCAGCTATTACACATGGCTGGATAACCACAAGATTCAAAATGCTACCTGGAGGAAG